ATCCTAAGGCAGGCATCCCCAAACTCTGCCCTCCAGATGTTTTGGGACTACAACTCCCATCATCCCTAGCTAACCAGACCAGTGGTCAGGGATGATGGGAACTGTAGAAGAAGAAGAAGAGAGGAGTTTGGATTTGATATCCCGCCTTTCACTCCCTTTAAGGAGTCTCAAAGCGGCTAACAATCTCCTTTACCTTCCTCCCCCACAACAAACACTCTGTGAGGTGAGTGGGGCTGAGAGACTTCAGAGAAGGGTGACTGGCCCAAGGTCACCCAGCAGCTGCATGTGGAGGAGCGGAGACACGAACCCGGTTCCCCAGATTACGAGACTACCGCTCTTAACCACTACACCACACTGGCTCTGTAGTCCCAAAACATCTGGAGGGCCGAGTTTGGGGATGCCTGTCCTAAGGAAAAGCGGGATCAACTCAGAAACTGGGTGAAGCATTTTCTTGCAGCTCCTAAATTATTATTTTTCCTGATACCCCTGTGTGCTCATTCCTGCCCCTCTTTTGCTGTACAGTGGTACCTCGGGTTACATACACTTCAGGTTACATACGCTTCAGGTTACAGACTCCGCTAACCCAGAAATATTACCTCAGGTTAAGAACTTTGCTTCAGGATGAGAACACAAATTGTGCTCCAGCGGCATGGCAGCAGTGGGAGGCCCCATTAGCTAAAGTGGTGCTTCAGGTTAAGAACAGTTTCAGGTTAAGAACAGACCTCCAGAACGAATTAAGTACTTAACCTGAGGTACCACTGTAGTTTGGTAGGAGGGAAGGTGTTTCTCAGGGCTTGCTGTCTGTTACCTGTCTCAGCAACAAAGGAGACTCGGAGGGGAGGGCTCTGTGATTCCCCCCCCCCAAAAAGAGGTGGAGGGCTCCTGGCATTGATGAACCCAGTCCAGAGGCTTTGCATTCTGGATTTTTATTTGCCGTCCATTTTTTCAGGCTGCTAAAACAATCCCAAGCCCTTTGTTTTCAGTGACTGGAGAGATTCTCTTCTCAGCTCCTTCACAGGTCTCCAGGGCCCACTTTGGGCCATGCTAACAGCTTGTATGTTGTTTGCTTTAAGTGAGATGGTGAAAATCTAATGCTAGACAAATATATGACAGGGCTCCTGATATTTTCTCCTTGCTTTCTGCTTTCAAAGCTTTGGTGTTGAGGAAAGGGGGAAAGAAAGCCCAGCAACATAAAAAAAACAACAAGAAGACTTGTCAAGTGGAAAGGAACCAGAAAGATGGATGGGTGCTCAGCCATGCAGAGAAATTATGTAAATAAACGGAAGTAAATATCTGAAAAGGGACTAAGGATAAATTGAGCGCTGAGAATTCTGCAAGGGGAAGAAAAGAGGCCTTTAAACATCTGGTTTTCAGACCATGAAGTTCCAAATGCTACCCAATGCCCACACAAACAGCCAGATTACACAGTGTGCAAAGCAGGTCCCCAGGATTTGTGTGTACAAAGTTGGTGACATAGTGTGATTTAACTTAGCCTTTGCCATCCTGGTACCTTCCAAACAATTTGGGACTACAACTCCTATTATCCTCAGCCAGTCCAAAACATCTGGAGGGCACCAGGTTGGCAAAGGCTGCTCCAGTGTGTCCTGTAAAATAGTCCTTTGCGAGCAGAAGGCATATTCTGCACGTGCGAGAGAGCATCTTTTGCATCGTGTTCTGGTGCTGTGGTTCAAGAAAGATGTTGCTGCTAAATTGGAAAAGGCTGGGCTGGATGAATCCCAAGACCGAATTAAGATTGCCGGAAGAAATATCAACAACCTCAGATATGCAGATGACACAACATTGATGGCAGAGAGTGAGGAGGAATTAAAGAACCTTTTAATGAGGGTGAAAGAGGAGAGCGCAAAATATGGTCTGAAGCTCAACATCAAAAAAACGAAGATCATGGCCATTGGGCCCATCACTTCCTGGCAAATAGAAAGGGAAGAAATGTAGGCAGTGAGAGATTTTACTTTCTTGGGCTCCATGATCACTGCAGATGGTGACAGCAGCCACGAAGTTAAAAGACGCCTGCTTCTTGGGAGAAAAGCAATGACAAACGTAGACAGCATCTTAAAAAGCAGAGACATCACCTTGCCAACAAAGGTCTGTATAGTTAAAGCTATGGTTTTCCCAGTAGTGATGTATGGAAGTGAGAGCTGGACCATAAAGAAGGCTGATCGCCGAAGAATTGATGCTTTTGAATTATGGTGCTGGAGGAGACTCTTGAGAGTCCCATGGACTGCAAGAAGATCAAACCTATCTATTCTTAAGGAAATCAGCCCTGAGTGCTCACTGGAAGGACAGATCGTGAAGCTGAGGCTCCAATAATTTGGCCACCTCATGAGAAGAGAAGACTCCCTGGTATAGACCCTGATGTTGGGAAAGATGGAGGGGACAAGGAGAAGGGGACGACAGAGGACGAGATGGTTGGATAGTGTTCTCAAAGCTACCAGCATGAGTTTGACCAAACTGCGGGAGGCAGTGGAAGACAGGAGTGCCTGGCGTGCTCTGGTCCATGGGGTCACGAAGAGTCGGACATGACTAAACGACTAAACAACAAATGTTGGAAAAACTTCATATGAGAGCAGAAAGAGCTACAGAGATGGTGAAGACTCTAGAAGGCAAATCCCAACGGCATGTTTAAAAAGCGTGTTGTGGGGGTTTTGCCTAGAAAAAGCATTTATGAAGAAGTCCGCTGAGAATATTCTAATAAAAGAATCTCCAAAAAAAAGAAAAAAGAAAAAAAAAGAGAGAGGAACTTGAGTTGCTGAGCTCAGGAGAAAAGGGAGCAGGGTTTAACCAGAATGGAGCCAAAATTTCTCAGAAGACATTTCTCAGAAATTGTCCTTGGTCTCAGCCCCCCCCCCCCAAAGAAGACAACTTTGCCAAACTGGAGATTTAAGGGAAGAAGAAGAAGAAGAAGAAGAAAGGAACTGCTTTCCCCTCCTTGAGCAAAGTGTGTTATTGCCATCTTTTCTCCAGCCAAGGAACAAACCAGAAACCCACTTTAAGTTCCCAATTGTTTGTTTGAAGCACCGCCTTTACCTGCCACACACCTGGTGTCATGTATGACCTCAGGTGTAGGGTGGATGGGTGTGGCTTCTCCTCATGAGCCAAACAGAGAGGTCCAGGATGGAGGTTCCCTATTCCTGTAGTATTGTGAGGAGTATAGTGATGGGCAACCACGAGCAGGTAACTGAGGAAACCGCTTGATTCTGCCTTATGGGTTGCAAAATTTGTTGCATAGGAGGTGAACTTAGGCTGTTCTCCTTTCGTCTGACCAGGCTTCCAACAGGCACAGCCTTCTCCCTCTCGCTGAACTCCCTTCCACCACTAGCCCTTATTCTGTAATTCTGGTAGGTCATCATAAACTTTATTGCACTAGCCAAAGGCCATGGCATCGTTCACAAAGGGAACAAAAAGAAAAGCAACAATAACCATAAAAACCATAAAAACATCAGGCACAGCAGATACAATAAACCACGATCACGTCTCCTAAAAAATATTTGTTGCACACGATAGAATAGCAAGGGGTTCTCAGCTTAAATGTCCGAATCACCTTTGCAATTGACCACTATTTTATCTAGTTCTTTTCTCCCGATCTTCTTAGCTGTAATTCTGGCAGGTGTTTGTGAATCGCTCCTACTTTTACCGATGCCAGTCTTGCAGCCGACCCAAAGGAGAACAGGATTGGACCTCAGAGGCAAAACAGTTAAGTGAAAATGCATTGGGGCTTGAGTAGATTTTATAGCCCTCATTGTTCACCCTGAAAGCTTCTAACAGTAAACAGGGACTGCCTGCCAAACAGAGCGTCATCATTCCCCAGACACTTCCTTTCCCCATTTCTTCCTCCTTGCTTCTCATTCATCTATATCTTTCCCAACTCTTGATGCTACCAAAGAGCAATAGGTCTCGGCAGATTAAACCTTTCTGCATGCATCTCTCACCAGCAAGCTTTAATTGGCTCCCCAATGCTGCATATCAAATCCCCTTGGAGCCATCCTTAACGATTAAATCAAAGATATGGAGAATAAGGGTGACTTGTTAGGGTGCATGAGCAACACTTAGCAAGAAGCAGGCTCTCTGTGCAGCAGCCTTCCAGATGTTTTGGACTACAATTCCCATCAGCCCCAACCGGCATGGCCAATGGTCAGGGATGACCATTGTAGTCTAACAACATCTGGAAGACATGAAGATACAGGAAGGGTGAGAAGTAGGGCTATTCCTGCTACAACAGGTTTGGGGAACCTTCTTCAACCTGAGAGCCACATGCTGCTGGTGTGTGGAGCTTGAGGTGAAAGGGGATGGAGCAATGCATATAAATTTTACCTTTGTACAGGCATCTAGTTTGGATACCTTCCAGCCAGGTGAAAACACTCAGAGGGAATATGAAACAAGGTGGCAAAGAGTATAGCTGGAAGGGAGAGGATATGGTTCAAGAACAGGGGTGGTTTCGAGAGAGTCCCAAGGGTCTGAACCTCCCCACTCCTGTGCTACAGGGACATTTATTCTTCTGGAGTCTGATTAGCGCTGGATTCTGTTAAATGATGGAGAACCAGTGGGTACCACTCCACTGCATCAATAGCTTTCTGAGCAAAGCAAGCCAAGGAAGATTATGAGAGTGGAGTAAGACTGTGGCCATGTCAGGGCCCACCCTGACCCAGACAACAATCTTGACCAGTCTGAAGATAAAGTTGGATGCATCTTTGATAATACATAATAGTGCTTTTGGTCTTTTCCATACAGCATAACCATAATAATCACAACTGCAATGTATGGCAGTATTCTTATCTCTACACTAGAGAGAGGGAGTTGAGACAGTTGTTTGCCCTGAAGGATGCCCAATGATATCCAGGTTGAGTTGAGGACCTCATGTTTTTAACCACTGCGAACACAGGAACATAGGAAGCTGGCTTTTACAGACCCTAGTTCAGTGCTGTCTAATCCTGCTGGCAGCAGCTGTACAGGGCTTTAGGCAGGAAGCTTTCCCCAACCCTACCTGCAGATGCCCAGGATTGAACCTGGAGCCTTTGACATGCAGACGATGTGCTTTACCACTCAGCCACAGCCCTTGCCACTGAGGAAAATATATCGTTTAATTTTGTAACTCGATGAGGCCAGAAAGGCTCAGTTCCTTTCCATGTGGCACAAGGAAGTGCTGCAAATAACATTACGCTGTCTGCCATGTTATGTTGGGAAGTCTTAACAGTGACCGTGTTTGGCCTTAGGAAAGAATTTAGCTCATATTTAAGTTGGCTAATGATTTTATTTAGGAATTTGTCTGGACTGTGTGGTTTGGAACTCTTGCTTGGCTTTTCATATTTGCTCTGCAATCATCTTTTTGCAGCACACCCTATTCTTTCTTTGGGTTATGCTGCAGTCTGGATTTTTCAGGTTGATCTAGGGCCAGCCCTATTATTAGGCAGAGGGAAGTAATCACCTCAGTGGCTGGTGTTAGGAGGCAGGGAGCAGCAGGGAGCTGAAGAAGGATAGCACTGTGTGTGCCACACAACCTGGCCTGGGCGCCCTAAGCTAGCCTGCTGCCTTTACCGTTGAGGGCAGGTGTTGTGATGTGAGGCAGAAAAGTTCCCCAAACATAAAATTTCCCATTAATTTCATGACATTAGTAAGAACGAATGGGTTCTAATTGCAAGCACAATATTAGGCAAACATGGCTGTTTCCTAGTTTTTAACTTGTGAGGACATCAGGGAATCTCTGTGGCCAAGTGAAGATTTTCAAATGCAAATGACAATATGCAAAGTACTGTAATTTGCATAGGAAAATTTTCCCATTCAACATTTTCTGGAAAGCCCACATCATTGTGCATTATTATTATTATTATCCCACCCCTCTCACAGCATGTATAAAACATAGTAAAATATCAAACATTAAAAACTTCCCGATACAGGGCTGCCTACAGATGTCTTCTAAAAGTTATGTAGTTCTTTATCATCACTAGTATTGAAGTAAGATCTAAATGCCACACTGTACATTTAAAGCACCTTTTTACCACTCGAACGATTATTGCTTTCCTGCAAAGAATCCTGGGAGCCGTCGTTGGTTAAGGATGCTAGGAACTGTAGCTCTGTGAAGGATAAATGACAGTTCCAATGAGTCTTTTGGGGAAGCCAGGACTGTTAAAGTGATATGAATTCACTCTAAATGCATACCACCCAACTGGGGCATGACCTTGACAGAGGCTGTGCCCCCTCTCACAAACACCCCCCTGGCTCTCTTGCACCTTCGCCTGGCACTTTCGCCCTCAGACTCCACTGCAGCCACCTCTGGCGTGGCCCCCACCTCTGCCACAACTGCACTTCCAGAAGTGTGGCGTGGCTTTCTGGAAGTACATTGGCTGGAAAGCCATGCTGGAAGGAGGCACAATGGTGGTGATGTGCGGAGCAAGGTAAGTTTTGCTTCTTCCTTTTTAGTCCCTCGCTCGGTGTCACAGTCTGGTTCACAGGCGATCGAAGTCCTGGCTGGGGACGTCAGGACCGGGGGCAAGATGGTGGGGTGGGAGCAGGAATGGGAGTCCAGAAGCCAGGAGCCAGGAAGCCAAGAGTCCGAGGGTCAGAGAGCTGGGAGTCAAGAAGCCAAGGGTCTGAGGGTCAGGAAGCAAGGGGTCAGGAAGTCAAGGGTCTGAGGATCAAGAAGCAAGCAGTCAAGGAGCCAAATGCAGCAAGGCAGAGAACGTGTTGTTGTGGCAAAGAGCCAAAGGGAAATTCTGACCTTATATCCCTTCCTGGCTCTTGCCACCAGGTGCTGTGAGTTACCAGTCGGCCTCACCTGTGCGGCCGTGCCTTGCCTCTTCAGAACAAACTTAGGAAGTCCCCAGTCCTGCAAAGTCCTATTGGTCACAGGGCCTGGCTCCTGCACGCACTCCTGACACTCTGGCGTGAGCCAACTAACTCACTCCACAGTGCAGGATGGAAAAATGGGACGCCTAGGATTGGGATCGGAACCTGGGGTGGCTTCTGTAAACCTGGGGTGTCCCTCTTAAAACGGGACAGTTGTGTGGTATGTAAATGCATCGTGTGGGTGTGACCTTGGTGAGGATTTGAATCCTCCAATCCTCTGAAACGTCCAAAAATGTCGCAATGAGGCCTGAGTGCGTTTAGAGACCCCGTAATGTTTGCTAGCGGTAGTGATGAGAAAAAGAAAACCGAGAGGGAAGGGCAAATGGAATGTTCTTAATAGGAGCACCACACAGTGCAACGCTTTGTTGCAGGTCCCACTTGTGCACTTGGCTTCAGACCCGTTTCTAGATCTTCAAGGGGCTGATTAATGTCTGACTCCTACCAACTGCTGACCACTGTAGCTTCTGACTGGCCTCCTGGGTCTCGTTGTGCCATAGCTGGCATCTTCCCAGGAAGCTGCAATAAAAAAAGAAAAGAAAGGGTGAGTAAGCACGTAAAAGCACATTTAAGATAGCTGCTCTGAAGAAGCAAATATGGCCGATCAGTTTAGTGGTGACTCATTAAAGCCCGAGGGTTTATGCTTCCTGAAGCTTAAGTGAACAACTGGAAATTGGAGTGGAACTGGGACGTTTCTTGCAAAATATTTTGGTCCATCGGAAGGGTTAGTGAATTTTTTTTTAAAGTAATACTGTACTTTTCCATCTAAAAGATGCCCCCATGGATAAGATGCCCCCTAATTTCAGGGACTCAATATTAAGAAAATGGGGGGAGATTGTCCAGAATGGGAGGAATGCAAAAAAAAAGCAAAAAAAAAAAAAAAGCTCACCCAAATTCCAAATGCTTGCAATCGAATGCAATGAGGAAGCATCCTATCGTATTTCCGATCGACACCGGCCGCCGCCAATCACACGCCCAACTGCTGCAGCAGAGCCCAATCACCAGCAGCCATTGCTGCAGCAGCGACCAATCGCAAACGGACATTGCTGCAGCAACGCCCAATCACAAGCGAACATTGTCGCAGCAGCCTATCACTCGCAATAACGCCAGTGACAATCTACTACTCAAGACAGAAATAATTTCCACCGCCCCCCCTCTGCACTATCCAATGTATAAGACGACTCCAATTTTTAAGCGTTGTTTTAAGGTAAAAAAAACAACATCTTATACACGGAAAAGTATGGTACATATTTCAAAAGAATAGTGTTGCTGGACAGGACAATCCAAGTTTCCAATCCGCTGTGCTGGAGGGGTTCAAACTAGGGATGGAAGAGTCTCCCTGTCCACTTTGGTTCCTCTTAGTTTCTCATTTTCATAATCTTAAATTTAGTTTGCCACATTTCCACATCAGTTCATGATGCTTTTTTTTTTTAAGTGCTCATGTACATTTGTCAGCATTTTAGTATACTGTTTTCCAGTGCTTTTCCCCCAGCACCTCTCAGGTGGGCGCCATTGCAGGCTGGTGCTCCCCCCCCCCACTTCTTGCCTTTATTTACTTCTGAGAAGCCCCAAACAAACATTTCAAGTCAAAATGGAAGCTGGCCAGAATGTGTGAGTGTACACTATTTTTTTTTTTAGCTCAATGACGCTGCCTATCTCCCAGCCACTCCTAGCTGCGATTGGGCGGGGCCCATTCATATTTCCTTCTCTTCAATCTGTCCCCCATGTAGGCTTTTAGTTTTTCAGCCAAGCCCCTATCGCTGCACGTGTGCATGTTTGCAGGAGGGCCCTTCTGAGCTGCCCTAGCCATCTACCTGAATCTAAGAGAACAAGGGATGTGGGGGCACCTTTATTTGACCTACACCAAAACCAGGGTGACCCACAAATCAGCTAAGGAGACAGCTTGCTGATTACCTGTTGCAGGGCAATTCGATTGTACTAGCATACAGTGGTACCTCTGGTTAAAAACTTACGGAGGTCCGTTCTTAACCTGAAACTGTTCTTAACCTGAGGTACCACTTTAGCTAATGGGGCCTCCCACTGCCGGCACGCGATTTCTGTTCTCATCCTGATGTAAAGTTCTTAACCCAAGGTACTACTTCCGGGTCAGTGGAGTTTGTAACCTGAAGCGTTTGTAACCTGAGGTACCACTGTATTTTTAATCCAAAGAACTAACAGCCTATTGGCCCTTAAATTGATGGAGGGCAGGCTATTGCCGAATACAGTGGTGCCTCGCAAGACGAAATTAATTCGTTCCGTGAGTTTTGTCGTCTTGCAATTTTTTTCGTCTTGCGAAGCACGGTGTTGGGAAAGTTTTGGAAAAGCTTCAAAAATCTTTTTTTTTTTTTATAAGATATTTATTGAAATTTTCAAGATATTACAAAACACACACACACACAAAAAAGAAAATACAAAATAAAAATATTTAAAAACAATTCCTTCCTTCCATTACTTAACCTTCATTTGCTTAGTTCCAGGACCTCCTCACACCTCCCTTTTTTGTATTCCAGTTCAATTATTTCATTCAGCAAATCCCTCCCCTCTTTATGTATCCTAATCATTAATCGTAAAGTATTATATTTTTGGATTTTTTCATATTAATAATCCATTTTATCATATTCCTTGTAACCTTTCAGCTAAAGTTCGCTTAGTTTCTATCCAACATCATTCTAACATTCATTAATTTTACAATATTTCTGTAGATAGTCTTTAAACTTTTTCCAATCTTCCTCCATCGACTCTTCTCCCTGGTCTCGGATTCTGCCAATCATTTCCGCCAGTTCCATATAGTCCATCACCTTCATCTGCCATTCTTCCAAGGTGGGTAGATCTTGTGTCTTCCAATACTTTGCAATGAGTATTCTTGCTGCTGTTGTGGCATACATAAAGAGAGTTCTGTCCCTCTTTGGCACCAATTGGCCGACTATGCCCAAGAGAAAGGCCTCTGGTTTCTTCAAGAAGGTATATTTTAATACCTTTTTCAATTCATTATATATCATCTCCCAGAAAGCCTTAATCTTTGGGCACGTCCACCAAAGGTGAAAGAAAGTACCTTCATTCTCTTTACATTTCCAACATTTATTATCGGGCGCATGGTAAATTTTTGCAAGCTTGACTGGTGTCATGTACCACCTGTATATCATTTTCATAATATTCTCTCTTAGGGCATTACATGCCGTAAATTTCATGCCTGTGGTCCACAACTGTTCCCAGT